CTACTAAATATCAACTGTGGTAATCACTCTATAAATTTTGCACTTTCACCAGAACCAGAGAGTGTAAATAAAGCCCCCCCCCCCCCGGTACAACAACAAAAATTAATTCCCTCATATGCAGGACTACAATACCCATTTTTGCCACCTTCCACATTCCAGGAATCCCCGGATATGCGTCAACATAACGTCAACATCAAGAATCTCTAATAAGTCATACAATTATGAAACATTATTCAATATAATGTTCAAGAGCATGCAGTCTATGGACAATCGTTAGAAATCTAAAATATAAAAACTGAACAAAATATTGCTCCCCTAAAACTAAATGTGCAGAATCTCGCGCAAGAAAATAGCTAGCATAGCTCACATCCCAAAACTTCTTTCCATATATAAGAGGTATTTCTGATCATCGTTTAAAATAAAAAGTAAGAGCGAAGAAGCTCTGAGGAAATTGAAGGTGTCCAACATAAATCTGTGGTCACAAATCGATGAACTCGGACACAAAAACACTTATTTAGAAAGTACACACAAAGACATGTATAACGCATACCTCAATACACAATGTCCTGAAAAATAACCTTATTGTATTCGATGTAAATGAGGCCCGTCGTGCATTTGACCAAGATTTAAATGCTCTAAAATTCCACCAGAAATCCCAGAAATGACCATTGGAAAATCTGTGAAAGACGATCTACAAAATAATATCGCAAATAAAATAAGGCTCAATTGACTTTAACTCTTTCAAGTTCTTATAAGTAAAAGGATTGGTGATCCGGGGAATGCAGCAGAGTCGTATCGTCCGTCCGGGACCAATAGTGGTAACATTTGACCGGGTACATACTCGTAACTTCTTATACGTTTTTACAATGCAATCCTATATGCTGTCATGAAATGTCGATTTCTTCTTTGTAACAGATATTGTCTTAAGTAGTATCAATAATTTATAGCCAAATACATGTGTTGTGTAAGTACTTATTTAAACTTGTGTTGTGAATATTACCGAACATGAGTTTATTTTGTTATTATTCATTAACTCTGCGGTTTTCTCTCATATTTCATGTTGTTACTACACGTTGTATTATAATCATACAGTATGATATAAATTACATCTTTAGAACAACATCATCTGCTGAATTCAATGTTTATTTTCCAAACGATATTTGAAAGTATGATACTTTTTTCCTTTTACTTGATTTGGTCTTTCGCAAAGAGATAAAGGCTTTTTGGTACAATAAGTAAACATTGATATTTTCTATCTAGATACACTTCTGATGGACACGTAACAATTTCATCCTTGCTTTAAAAACATCTGAATGTATTAATTTCTAATTAAATATTATTTCTGGTTTTAATAATAAATTAATAAAAATTATTGTCAATTATTGATTTTTTTCTGTTAAGATTTCATCATAGTTGTTTTTCATATATATTCGTATCTTAGTTTTACAAGGAATAGTGTTCCACTTTTGTTGTTTCGCCTGAACTTACATATGTTTCTAAATAACATTTGTCTTTAATTAAGTAAGTCAAATTCATTTTTCATTCTAAAGGCATCACCAGACGTATTAACAAATATATTTGCTTATCTGTCCTTTGACACAGATACTTTAAAATATATACAGAAGCTGTATAAGACAATCCTCGTATCACGAGCATGTCTTATACGAGGATTGTTCAAAAGTTTGTGGACTGCGGCTCTACTGTTCACATCTTTTAATTTGCGTACACGATTTGTACAAGAGACAAATATTGGAACGTTTCCCTAATTTACAATAAAAAAAGCAATATATTTTTAAACAAATTATCTGTGAAAGCTACAAATAACAAGGTGTACGTGTATTTCTGCCTGACTGTTCTCATTATTAATTTAAAAAAAAATTCCTTAAAATCTTGTTACTTTAAAGAATGATGGCATGTTTGTGAAATTTAAGAAGAGTTCGGTTACATGTCATGTAACGAGTCATAAGCCATAAAATGCCCTCAAAGCATCGTTTTCATTTAAAAAAGGATAGTTTAGATAATGTTTGTGTAAACATACGCATTTATAAATTTGCTTAATTAATAGTTAATTTCACATATTGCACTGGAGAGATCTTTTTCTGATCTTTAAATTAAAAAATGTGTTGATAAGGATTGAACACCGATTAAGCTGGTGCTAAACGCGTAAGAGATGTCGCTATTTCCATAATCACGCGTGAACAGACTAAATGAAACCAACTCTGCAATGGTCTAATGCTCGTAAGAAGTTTTGTTTTGTTTCACTTTATCTTGGGTGATCGCTTTACAAAAGTATAAGTTTAAGGAAGACAACGTGATAACGAAAGACCTATAACTTATCCCGAGACATTTTGCATCATACAAGGAATAAAACATTTCAATTTCAGAAAATTGATCTTACGAAAGCCATTTAAATATACTATGAGAAGTATCTTATTGTTGTTTACTGGGCTCGCTTTATCTGCATGTGATATATATGCATTCATTGAAACACTAGTCATGAAATGGAGAAATGTGTTTTTTTTAATATTTAATGTATAGAATGATCATTTCAACACAGCTCCATACCATATGTTGTTACATAATGTAAATACAGGTCATTTTCTAAACCTGAGAATTTTCCCAAAATTAACCAAATGCAGCTGCGCCTCAAGTGAATTATTTCAGTATGATGCTGTAGGCGTTTTTGACAACAGACAGAAATGTTCTATTATATTTTGTGACTATGTATCTTGAACATTGAAATTTGATACAGTACTGTATTTAATATGATAGTTAGACGACTGTTTTTTCCAGTTAATGTAAAAAAAGTTTCGTCTCTTGGAAAAGTGAAAAGAGATTTTATCCAAAGGATGGAGTAAATATTGAATATAAAGATTTCTGAATAGAAATATATGAATTATGTATTAGCAAGGCCGTCGTCGATGGTCCGGCCGGTCCGGCCTTGGCCGGACCAATATTTTGGCCAAAAATGAGTAAAAAAACCCCCAAAAAACAAAAACAAAAAAACACGCATCGCTGATTAGCAATTTGACACTTAACTGGCCCCTTATGCAATACGCGGTTACATACAAACATGACGCGAAGAAACAAATGGACACTGTTAATTGACCAGGTATTTGTAGGGGTCCTACGAAGTTAAATGTGAAGTTAATTGACATCGACGTGGCTTCGGACAGTTCACCGTATATACATGTATATATATGTGCATTATGAATATCTTGAACTAGTATGCCTGAATTCTCCGAGAACTTGATAATATTTTATTGATTGTACACGGCAACCGTTCAAAAGTCATATTTTTATCACATATCCGTGCCGTTTTTGCGACTCCGTGAAAATGGTATTGCACGGCCGTGCATATATTTTGACATCATTTGCGTTATACACACTAAATGTTAGCGTTTTTCTATGGGCGTCAATGAAAAATGGTTGCTCTTCACTTCAAAAGGTACTTATTTTTGGTATGTAATAAACAGAATATTGAATTCGTGTAAGTTCATTACTGAATTTATTGAACTCGTTGAATAAAATATTATACTCGCCAGAGGCTCGAATAATATATTTCCATTCAACTCCTAACATAAATTCAGTAATAAACTCATTCAATTACTCTATTACATAATTACAGTGCAGGACGTGTTCCGGCCTAAGTATTTTGAAGCAATCGATCTTGCCATGGCCAGTGTTAAAGAGAGATTGGACAAACCGAGATATCGCGTACTTCAGAACGTGGAGGATTTATTTATTAAGGCCGAACAACCTTTGAAGACCGTTCACTAGAAAACTTGGTTTTTGTTTGTGATTATTTGGCAACGATATTAACAGTGACATCTTATAGGTGCAGCTTCAGCTGCTACGTTCACATTTTGACAAATCAGAAAATAGTACTGTTACTCTACCTGACGCTTTGAAATTTGTGTCAAAACAATCGGTGCAAGAACAGAGGTCATTGTGTTGTTAAAGAATTTGTTAGTAATGCCTGCTGCTAATGCTACCAGTGAAAGGACATTCTCGGAGCTCAGAAGAATAAATGTGAAAATACACAGGGAGATAATAAGAACGGCGAATGCATTGTTGTAGAATAATGCACTCTTCGGGCCTTCTTTGTTTATATAGAAAAAATTCCGATAGTGTTAGAATGTTTATTTTTCATTCGCCAAATATCAATTACATGTATTCATCTTTTATGTTCACCTGTCCGTCCGTTATGCAAACCTTAAATTTCACCCTAAAAAATAACGACGCACTTACATCTGTAAAAAAATCGTTGACATTTTACTATGACATGTTCTAGCGACAGGCTGTAAAATGTGCCAAATATATGGGAAAACGCCCCTAAGAACATCCTAGAATAAAAAATTTTCCGGGGGAGCATGCCCCCGTACCCCCTAGATTCTGGCTAAAATCTGGCTAAAATCTACCAAATTGGCCGCACCAATCACAAAATCGTGACGACGGGCCTGATTAGGCATTACTCATAAGTCAGTCAAAACTTTAGGATGGGACTGATTTGTATTTATAGAAGGTTAGTAGACACTTTTCCGAGAATCTGCAGAAGCAGGGCGAAGGGCGAAAGATTTAAAAATTCTTGCATTATTCTTTCATGAAAAAATAAAAATATACTTCTGATTCGGTAATTCCGGGATTTGTTAATTTTGTGTGTAACGATACCGCTTTTGTCATACTTTTACATGAAACATGTTATTTTTAGAAATATAGAATAGTTATGCACATTGAAAGCTGATTTATTTCAATTCAATTGTGTTATCTATTTTCATTGTCAAACCTTTATTCAAATAATGCCCTCCATCCTGCACTAAAGCTACGCTCCCTTCGCAGCTTACTGAATACACTCCCGTTACTTCAGACCGCTGCTGTAATACCCGTCGATTCATGATATTGACCTTTACCGTGAACTTTAAACGACCAATGAAAGTTTTCCAAATTCCAAAACAGCCTAAAATCTTTATACGCATTTTCATTGGTTGAAACAGATGACGTGTGTACAAAATTATAAATAGACGGGTATTTCCTCAAAATTATGTAAACAAAATACAAGAAATAGCGTAACCGGCGCCAGACATCATTACAGAAGTTTGTTTTTCGTGCAACCATTGAACAAAATTTGGATACATTTGATTTTCTCAACATGGTCATTTAAGTAACTTTGTTTTTCAAGGAAAAGCGCACCTTCATCGACATAATTTGCGAGAGAAACCAATTTTCGCGATCTAGATTTACAGTAGCCTACTGTACATCGGAATAAAAGACATTGACAGGACAAATTTGTATGTCTACTGTACTCTGATTCAGACAACTCTATATCATGTGTGAGGAAGATGCACCTATAAGTAAAGTTGAAGAGAATAGAGATTGTACTGTATTTGATAAAGTAGCCAATAGTACACCAGTCTGATCTGCAGGTGTCAAGACAGTTCAGGTGTCAATATGGTATGAATTTTGATTTATGTTAAAACATTTGAGTTTGTGATAATGTGTTAGTAATGTGACATTATTTTTCACTGTCCAGATTGTTTCAATAGACAGACTTGAATTTAGTCCAACTAATTAGACTTGTCAAAGAGACACCGAGATAATTTTGGACGGGCGCTGTCTTTTTCCAAGTCCAACCACGAACTGCATTTTTATGCACGGACGCTTCCCAATTAGAAGTTGTTGGGAGCGAAAACTAGAAAAGTTTCAAAGAAACAGTCTACATTACCTGAAAGAGAATCGTTTTTTATGCAAGGTTCCAAATTATCATACTTCAAAGTCGAACAGAAGTCTAAATATTCCACTTTAATTTTTTTAATCGTTGAAAATTATTGAAAGCGGCCATATTGGAAAACGGTGTCATGGTAAAATTGTAAACACTGGTAAAATCCATGGTGTAACACAGGTATCGACGGCAATCGATTGTATTTGCCAAGCTTTATTATACAATTTGTTTATGTTATTTATATGAATTATTGCAGGAATAACTCTTTTATTCACACACAAATATTTCAGCATTAAAAAGAGAATGTGTAAAGGAAATTATGATAACCTTACTTAGAAATTAAATAGTTTATGATGTCCGATGTCAGATCATACTGCATTTAAGTCCGTTTAAATTGTCAAATTAGATATTATTAAGTTGGAATTTTTAACATCTGTGATCATTAGGTGAAATTTCTGAACTACCTTTTTATTTTATAACCCTGCCATGATTTCCCACATACGAAAATACAATGTAATTGTAGGTACATCTTAATTAATGAATTATAATTATACTATACATGATGAAGCAAAGAAGAATTTCAATTTATATTACACTCCATATCATTTTCTAGTTTATTTTCTTTAAAAGAAATTGAGGACGGTTGTGTATGGGAAGAAGTTCAAAACAACCCAAAATAACTTTAAAACTCTGAAAAAAAATCTTAAAATTTCAAACTATAAAATGGAATTTCAGACAGTCCTCAGTAAAATATAATTGTCGCACAGATTTGACGGGGTTTATGATAAAAACACAGCAAGCGGAAATTTAGTGACCGTTATTTAGATGTTGAATAGCATAACAATGTAAGACAGATGGGAGAAATGTTGGAACGACTGTCGCAAAAGGCACCAAAACCTCTGATACCCATTAAAAATTCCATGTTATCTAGTTCCCGTTGAACGGCACCTCGAATGTGTCACATTGAAAGTTCCATGATTACCGCCGTATTATGTACACATCTGTGCATGGATGTTGATTAAAAATTTCAACATTATTATGTTTAAGTGATCAATTCTGTTTAAACCGGCGAAAGGGAGCACTTGCACCTACCAGAGCCGTCTTTGGCACTCCTGTGTATTTATGTTTCGTTTTTTTTGGGTGGTTTTTTTTTTTGGAGGGTGGATACATGAATGTGGATAAGTCTTTTCTGTTTCTTTACATTTCTTTGCTTGCTTGCCGAACCTTGTACATGTATTGATAATCATTATATGTTTGTTACGGTTCGGTATACATGTATACAATATGATAAACAAGATGAACAAGGAAAGGCGGCGTTCATTGAACGCAACCCCCACACGACCCAGGAACATGAACCATTGGCAAGGAGCCCAGGGGGATCCTAAATTAAAACGGGACAGGGCGCAAGGGAGAGCACGGTCATGCTTATCACTAAAATGTAACTGAGAAGGAAATCAAAGAAAATAAATAAATGAATGATTAATAGGACCACTAAGTTAACGAGCACAGGGGAAGGGGATAGGAAATTCGGGGAGGGGGCGAAATAAAGAAATAAAACTAGGGGCAAAGGGAAGATACTTACCAAAGACGAGAAAACAACAAGGGACACAAACAAAAGAGTCACCAAAACAGTATGAAACAGGACCACTAAGTTAACGGGCACAGGGGAAGGGGATAGGAAATTCGGGGGAGGGGGCGAAATAAAGAAATAAAACTAGGGGCAAAGGGAAGATACTTACCATAGACGAGAAAACAACAAGGGACACAAACAAAAGTGTCACCAAAACAGTATGAAACAACAAGACATACACCTTATACATTTATAAGTCTCTTAATCTGTTCATTTGAAAATTCTGATCTTCTCAATGACTTTTTTTTAATATCCTCTACTTAAAATTTATTTCAATTAAAATATGTGACCCTTCCTTTATAGTTACACATCATATGGCTGGATCACAATAAAGTTCCTTTTTAGTAAATTAATAAAGTATGTCAAGAAGGCATTTAACTTTATCAATAGGTTTAATATGGTATTATATATCGGCAATCGGTGAAAAAGAGCTCTTGAAATATTATTTGTACAAATACTGAATAATTTGAAGTGTATTTCAAATAGTTTCCTTCAATATTTCTTTTACGTTCTTAATTGTCATATAAATATGCATGTATAAATGAAGTCAGTATTTTATCCGAGAGTGACATTTGGCAGTCATTAGCAGTAAACAAGAAGGCAAACCACCAATTGATAAATGTTGAGTACATGTATTAAAATATTTAAAAAATATGAAACAAAAGTACTTGTACGGAGCCTATTTGCGACCATTGCATTTAGGTTAAATAGAATGATACTTTTCAATAGTATTTAATAATGCACACATTTATTAAAAAATAATGAATAGATTTATTTCCCCCCGATATTTTGTTTAATTTAATCTTCATGCGTAACCCACACTTACCTGCTAGACACACTGGTAGCTACTACCAGCTTTCACGGAATCGATTTTTTACGATGACGTCATAACATGTCCGCCGAAGATAGAGTAGACAGTACAAATTTGAAATAAATCGAATGTATGCGTTAAGACAGGTACAATCTAATATTTTTTCTAGGAGAAGTTAGTACTAAAATTTATATTCTATTGATCTTTAGAGGTAATTGAAGTTACTTTCAGGTTTAAGCAGTAAAAATCAGTCCAAACTATCGATAGTGTTACCGGTAGATTTTCCGTGCGTAAAAATGACAGTTAAAATTAGGCGTAACGGTTTGACAGTAAGAAAAAAAAGTCTGTAAAATGGGTCAAACCGTTCACGCCAAATTAATTAGGCTAACTTGAATTGTGATTGAACAAAAATTAATGATAGTTGATCAGTGATTCCTAAATATAAAAAGACTGCCACACTTTTTTAATAAAATGACAGCCACACTTTTTTAATAAAATGACAGCCACACTCCTTTAATAAAATGACAGTTTATGAAGGATATTTACAAATATTTTTGTGGTTAACGGGATTTATTTACTCAGTTATTTTAATTTAAATGATCACAGAATCATGACAAATGCATACCTACCAAGGAAAAACATGATTCAGCACCCTTAAATTAGCATTACTAAATGTGAAATTTCTCAAATTGGCCAGCTTATCTTTCAATATGGACTAAAGCATTTATCAATTTGAAAAAGACTCTTCACAATTTGTAGTGACTGAAAAGTGAATAGTGCAGACCATGATCAGATCTTACAACACAGATGTGCCTCCACAATAGTTTCTTAAATTCTATAAAGTGTTAAAATTGTATAAAATATGTAACCATGCAGCTTAACAGAAATTTAATCTATGTGTGCATGGAATATAGAAAATTAAATTAACTTTAGTTTAAGAGAAATCAAACACTGTATGAAATAATTGCTACTTAATTATTAAGTAGCAATTATTTCATACAGTGTTTGATTTCTCTTAAACTCTTTTACAATTGTTGTTTTTTTGTGTTTTTTTTTATTGTTTTTTTTATAAACAAAATACAAATGTAATTGTATTTAGAAATTCTAAAATATTCACTATATTGATATTCATTTCATTTTGTTAACAAGAATATGTGAAGCTGTAGATGATATGTTTTGAAATTGTTACATATTAATATAAACATTTACAAGATATCTTCCAGATTTAACACAATAGAGTAATTTATGTGGCTTTTAAATAAAAAAATCTTGTAACTGTTATCATAATTTATATATTAATTAATATAAAAGGACCATTACAGTTATCAAAATTGATTTATTAATATACATGTCAGGGTTATGCAGGAGATTAATGCTTTTCATGTATTAAAAAAACAACTTATAATGAGGGCCCAGTGGATTTGTTCTTTACTTGAAAGTTGAAAACACAAACCTTTTTTAGGCAAAGACTGTTAGGAGCGTTTGGCATATGTGTTTATATTTATTTGACCTTTATAGCTGAATGGCTTAAAGTTTAGTATTCATTTGTCTAAATACTAGAACAGAACATTGCTTCATGGACAGTCAAAGTTCTTGACAAGAAATGTAAATAAGACATATGAGCCGCGTCATGACAAAACCAACATAATGGGTTTGCGACCAGCATGGATCCAGAAGAGCCTGCACATCCGCGCAGTCTGATCAGGATCCATGCTGTTCGCTATCAGTTTCTCTACTTGTTATAGGGTTTGTGAGCAAACAACATGGATCCTGATCAGACTGCGTGGATGCGCAGGCTGGTCTGGATCCATGCTGGTCGCAAACCCATTATGTTGGTTTTGTCATGACGCGGCTCAATTATATATCTTCCAAAATCCATAGGTCATTTGAAATGTAAAGAGTTTGTTATAGTTATATTACTCTTGGGAGAAGTTAGGCACAAATATCTGTCTTATAGAGTGTTTAAGGTCACATAATTACAGGCTGCCTAAAAAACAAAGTTACTATTTAAGTTTGGCCATGATAGCTACAGGGATTTTACTATTCCCAAATGTAAGGTGCTTATGGGGTATTGAAAGTATAAATTAAATAGTAGCTCAGAAGGAAATATTTTAGGAGATAATTTAATTTCAAATTTTAAGTTTCTGCATTTTGACAGATTTCTGTAGATGTTTAAATGGATCAACACCATTTACTTGTTATCCTCTTCTGAAATAAAGGTGGACTACTAGTATATTTTGACATTTATTAACATATAGATGGTTATTTTCTTTGAACAACAGGACTGTTACTGTATAATTAAATGATGTTTTCATACTGTACAATTCTTATATACAGTACTCCATACATGTTTATAATTGAATTAATGTCATAACTTCTGTTTTTAGGGTATATGACCAAAACCAGAAAGATGTGTTTCATCCAGTGTTCACTGTTCACAGGGGTTGAAGAGCTTTGCTAGCACTTACAGCTACAGCTAGGCCAACAGATTGTGCCAAATAAACATTGTGTACTAGGTACATGTATAATAACCATTAGAAATAGTACAGTTGAACTTGAAGGCAGAAAAACATAGAAGAAATCAGTGATCAAAGTATCTGTGGATCTGAGAGTGGGAAGTAAATGTTATGAACAAATGTCTTATGTGATTAACATGCTTTTACAGAAGATAAAATAATGATTTTGGACCTTTTTTATTTATTTTAAAAATAAAATTTGGGATGAAGAGTTATTTGACATACTACTACACCAAATATCAAATCAAGTCATCAATCAGAGTCAAATAGCAGTCTTAAAGTCTTCATAACTGCAAAAATGTTGAAATATGGTTAGACTACAATACTTGGACAGTATGGACCATCATCAGTATATGATCAAATACCTGCATTCAACATATTGATTAAGTTTAAGTAACTTAGTGTTGGAACACTTCCTCATGGAATTATTGTATAGTGTGTAATTTCAGGTCAAGGTTTTGTCCAGGTTTTGTCCAAAATGATAAGTTTTTTGAAAGGCAACACTGTCACACATAATCCTTTGCCAAATTCATGAAAACTACACATGTATTGGTGCTGCAAGTTGTGACATTTGTCAGAAAGATGTAATGATGGAAATTGTAGAAATTTATTTTCACTGGTATTTTGAAATACATGTGCATGTGCAATTTAAATTTTTACACAGTTATATAATCAGAATATTTTAAGTTTCCTTTCAACACTCACATCAAATGGCTGTACATAGGTTTAAAATTCTGGCATCATTTTCCATGAAATTTAGGTCTTTTCTTATACAATTTTGTAATTTTTAACATTAGCTGATTCTTAAACTTTAAAATTCACTGTGTGAGATATTGTGTAATACATTAAGGATGTAACAAGTTGAATTTTGTTGACATCATTTTCTGCCCACATCAGGTACCAGTATTTTGTGAATGATATCCCTTTTATAAATTTGAATTTATAGGGTATCGACAGTATCTATGTTATTACTGTTGCTTATTTATAAATGAGATAGCTCTTTTAATTAGTTAACAATGAGTTATGTCTATTTTTTTCATAGTCTTGAATAAATGTAGATCTGCAGGAACCTATGTTATAATTACATTGTAAATGATTGCATTTGAACTGGGGACATTTGTTTCACATTAGCATCATATCATAAAGAACAAGTTGCATAAATCCTGCATGATTATATTTGTTTAGGAATATGGTTCCTGTTCCAAAGTTAGATTTTTTAATTCAACTTGTAATGTCTGAACTAACAGTTTTGCTTTAACATGAAATTATTTATGGGATATTTGTCATTTATGACAACATAATAAGACCTGCAGCCTTTCTTTAAATGCTTTTAGATGTTACCTATATGATTTTGAATTTTGCAAAATGTAAGCATTGATGCAAAATTATATCAACCCTTAGCCTGTAGAGTTTATAAATGGACATGTCTGGCTTATATATTTAAAAGTGTTTATTATCATTTTGGGTACATTATTCATCAGGATGAAAAGTTAAAGTTAGTGAGACACTAGTGTGGAGCCTGTTCAGTCTCCATAGCCTGGCTTTATACTGCTGGCAAAGGCTAATCACTTAGCTTATTTACAATGAAGCATGAAAATAGCCAATTACACTGTCCTATGGATAATGCTAAATTACAACAAAATAATATGACCTATTTTGAGTAATAGCCTCATAAACCAGATACTGTTCTGGCCATCTTTTGGCACTTGTCAACATATTTATATATATAATTAGCTCACATGTCACAAAGTGACATTAAGATCTTTTTTGATGTAACAATGTGAATGGGTATCATAATTTCACTGAACATAGTAACAATATGACTGGGTATCCGAGTATTAAACCAGTGCTGAAGGCACAAATTGTACTTTAAAACCTGAAATATTCAAACAAGCTTAAATATACATTGCCTACTCAATAGCTAGATTATCCTAACCTATATATATTTAGTGTTCTGGTCAAGTTTGATCTTGTTTTTCTATTGTTACTATTGGCTTAGGATGTTAACTTCATAGGAAAAGATATTTGTCAATTTATCCCTGTGATTGTGAGTGACCTTACAGCCAACTTATGTACTCTTATTTTTGTTATGTTTATGTGATCAACCCTTGATACATTATATTTTAGGACTGTGGTATATGTGTATGTTAAATCAATAAAATGTTGCATTTGTAATTTCATATTACATATTGTTTTGAGAATGAAGACTTACATGTACAGGTGTGAAATAAATTCATTGATGATCTACAGTGCATTTATTGTTTTTAGCTTAAATATTTGAAGAAAAATGGGACTATCCTTTACATCTGGAATTCTTCATCAGTGTAACATCTTAATGTTTTTCGTGCAACTAATGGCTTGCACTTCACCTCGGTTTGAAATCCGCAAGGAACATTGGATTCTTTCATGTGTAAAAGACTTTGCACACTCTGGGATCACTTTCCAAGGCCAGTAACTTTAGCATGGATTTTGACAGAAGCATGACCCTCAAAACTTCTGATTTAATACAGGTGAAAGTTTTACCTGCAATATTATTCTTGAAACTTAATAATAGTATACCTTGGGCGTCACTGTCAAAGGCTCATAACTCGGGAATTTTAAATGAAATATGGCCTCATGAGAACATTATATGTAAATAAATGAAATATTCCTTAGTTAATTCAAACATTTTCCATCAAATTCTGATAATAGTTGAATAGAACAACTGTTCTATTGACAGCCCTTGTTGATATTATAAACATTGGACAAGCTTGTGGTTGCTGTGGTAGTCTCCTGATTGACTACAATATTATTAAGTAGAATAGCTGAATTTCAAATGAGTAACCAATGCAGTTTTACTATTGATGTGTACAATAGTGTTGGTTGAGTCTGCAGATATCTGTATGTAGTATGTATGTCATTTTGCACATCTTCCGCTTTATTCATACTTGTATATAAGAATTGCTGTTTTTCGAGGGATTGGTTGAATGCTACTGGTCATCCGAGAAAATATAAGAAAAATAATTTTAACGGCCTGACTTGGACTTTTTTGCAGCCAGAATATGCGGACCATTATTCGTATTGAGCTATCGTTTACGTAGACTCCATTACAATTGACTATCCGTAAATAATATATCATCGCGAATTTACCATTTTGGTCGTTTAAAACAAACAATTTTAAGTAAAGTACAAATGAACACGCATTGTTTACATTACAGTGCGTCAAATTGAGGTATGTGACAATTCGTTACAAGTAAGCTAGTCACTGATTGGCTGAAGTGTAGACACGGATTTTCCTGTCTAAAAATAGAAATATCGGTCTGAACCTACAATTTTAGCAGAGGTAAGAAGTGAGCGATAGTGGAACATTCGACCGATGCGCAGGAGAGTACACTAAAGCTTGGATGGGGGTCCATTTTCTTTAAATGTATGTATGGTTTCACAGAATTTGCTGATATAAGATAAATACTCCTATATATGGCATTTTAAAGTGATGACATTACTAATTCCTTGGATGATTTATTCAGAAACAGATGTTGTTGTTTAGTATTTGCAAGACATTTACGGTAATCTTCAAGTGTTTAAAGAATAGGAAACTGTAAATATTCTTATTTTAATATTACCGCATAATTTCAGTTAACATTATACATGATCGATTTGTTCGTCGGAAAATCAAAGGAAAAATAGGTGTAATGTTACATATACGTATATAAAACAGTCGCTCATGCTTAATTTTCAAGCATTTTTAAATCATTCGTATTGGTGCATTATTGTGAAAGAACATTGTAGAGTTAAGTGCCTAATATCATTTGACCATGAGCTATAATTTAAATATGATCAAAAATAAAAAAATATTATATGCAATTTCGGTCTTTCAAATAAAATGAAATTTTGTGATTATTTCGTCATTAAAGGTGCATATAAAAATGGGATTGATTTACTTAACAGCCCTTCTTGCATACGCTTAAATTACTGCGTCACAATAAATTGTTATTTTTTGCAAAATATAATACCTGTGCTAATTATCACAAAACAATATTTGAATTCAAAAGTAAAATAGCATAATAACATTGTAATATACTGGAAATTATCTCTTATATAATTTTGTATTATCTATTTTCTCTATATTTTTTTATTAAAACGGCATCAGACAAAATGAAAAACAAAAATTACTTTTATTCAAAACATGTTTATATTTCCTCTCGTGGCATTTTTGCATTCTTACTTACAAAAACCATGTAATTTCATAACAAAAAAAATCAAGAAAACGATGGAAGTAATTATCCAGCAAAAATATTATCAAAAATAAAATGTGCTGCCATGTAATTGTAAAAGCAGCTCTATTGAACTTAAAACTGTTATTTTACAGTAATTTATTAAAATTTTGCTGTAAAAGAAATCAGACGTTTTTAAGGCAATCACTTAAAGCAAAAATCAAGTCTCTGATCGTATTGGTTTCCAATAAAACGCTATAGGGTTTGTACTACAGTATTGTTTAAAATGGTTCTAAATGAAGTGTAGAACACTTCACGTTATAAAAATTTGCTGGAAATATTTTATCTCCAGATTTTGGTGAAAATTTACAAATGGTTTTTATTCTAATAATCAATTTCGTAAGAATACCAAACTGATTACCATCACATGATTGGTGAAAACATAAGTAAGAGTAATTATCTGTGTAATTAATTAAAGAACTTTAATTGACATAAGACAGTATTTTCAACATTAATTGATTAATCTGAACACGTGCTCAATCAGAATGGTTAGAAAAGTTTGTCATTCATTTGTATAATGTTAGGACTTTTTCAAAATATTTGCCAAAGTTAATTTCATACTAACAGTATATGACAATATTAAGCCTCCAGACATAATTTTAAACAGGAATATATTCAAACAGAAAAAGGTATGTGATGCTATTTTCTTATCGATTTGTTACTTTCTTGAAAACCGAGCCTGCAACATTTTCAATTGTGACGTGTTGGGCTTTCTTTAGGGATTCTTATTTTGAAAAATGCAATACAAATATGAATTTATTTATAGATATTTGAATAATGTACAAATACATAAGTTTCATTTATCTCACTTTCGCCGTTGTAAATATATTTTAAAAGGACAAAACTGGAGACAGAAGTCCATATAACACAATTAAGCGAAACATATGGTTCATGCTTCGCTCTATGTTTGCAAGAGAGGGCCATAATCCCATTTTATTTCTTTATTTCTATATTGTAGTAGGAGGAGTGAGAAGGATGCACAAATTCCAATGAATTGTAATGTGTCAAATTACAGCAATGCATAGTTAAAGTTGATCTACCAAAATTAATAGGGAGTTAAAAAATGTCTGCCTGATGGATTCAACCGTCTGTATAAGAATAAGTCAAATATCTAAATAAAATACTTTGATAATATTGATCGTAAACATTTTATGCAGGGTATTTAGAACAAATTTCATCATTTGAAAATTAGTTCATCAGTTGTCTTTGTTTTATCATAAAAAATACAACTTTGAATAATTACCTGTATCACTGCGATTCACGGCTTTGGTAAAAGTTGGTACGCATGTACTCACTCATTCACTCACGCACTTAGTTATTGACTTACGTCACGTTAAGCCCTAGTACCTGGAGCTTTAGTGCATTTATATCTATTGACTGGTAACAAACACATACTGTTTTCAAAGATGGGAAAGGGGCTTCCTTCTGTTGCAATTCAGTCTATACGTAAATTTGTTGGATTACATGAGGTTTTTTTTGTAAAATAAACGACAAGAGACAACCCAAACTGGTTTATTTTCATATATGAGTACCTAAATGTAATGTTTAAACCGATATAGGAAACATTCAAATCTGGGTCAATTTTATTTGTAATACTAATAAATTCCATTTGTATATAATACATTAAAACTTTCAAAGAGTTGGCCTTTTTAACAGTCAACTAGTTGTACAGCCGCTTTTTAAGAAGTGAATGGACTTAAAGCTGAAAAGAAAACATAAAATCATATATTTCATTCTTTAGAAAATTAGGAAATTATATCCCCAATGTCTGTTTTCAAACAGTCGTGTTCAAACTTTCAAGGAAATAATAACCAAGATACCTGCTCTCCTGCTTGAAATAAAAAAAATGAAATGCACTTTTGAAATAAGGCATTGCGGCAACAGTTGTCCATAAGCGTTATGCTTTGTTTATTTCTATATTTGCTGTTTTATATAACATATGTATGCCATTGAAAAATTTGAAAAGGTTATTTGAAAAACTCTGGTAAAGAATATCACAGAGGCGAAATGTTAATGATAAAAATGTCTTCTTGTATGTTTAATGATCGCATGTGATGAGCATTCAAATATGCAACAAAGTACTGTATTTGTATTATCTTTATAAAGTTTGCAGTAGTTTTGTTCTTAGTACAAAAATAAAATGTTCGTAAAAAATCAAAAGGCGACAATGTTCATTGATTGCATTGATTGTAATATAAAAACATTGCGTGTATCGATACATAAAACTGGGAAATGAGAGCCTGGCAACTTTATTTTGTAACTTACTGTGGGACGATGATACAAATATTAGCATGAAAGATTATTTTGTGTTATGGGGAGAGTTGCTTTCTGAATAATTCATGAGTCAGGACCTCGGGCTTTGATTGATATGTATTAATGTAGTTAACAGCTTGTTATGACCGGCTCGGGAAATGAAAATACATAACTTGTCTTAAGCGATGAAAACAGACTTCATTTATATATTCATCAGAGCATAAACCAGTTATACTAAAATTTGGCAGCCATCTGTCTGCTAGTATTTCTGCCCAGTTATGTCGTGAACGAAGTAACAATATTATGATTTATTTATAACAACATTTATTTATACCTCGGATTTTCAAAGTAATGTTTTAGAAAATAATTTCTATTGACGAAGTTAGAAAGGAGTTCATAAGTATATCGATCGATCTACTGCTGTAGCGACATTAAATTCCCCATTACATATTATCACTGTCATACAGTTGCAAATTACAACACATTTACCACATCAATTTATCGACACGACATAATAAAATATATATCCAAGACAATTCGAATGTGTGTATAAAGAGATGGCAAACGCTAACATCTAATATGAGCATTTTATTTCATTAAAAAATATATAAATTTCTTAAATATTCTTCTATAATACCTGGTATTAACAAATATATAAAATACATTTAAGGATATTAGTAGAATACGAATAAGTGTTATAATTTAGATTGATACAGGAAAATGTTCTGCGATGATGAAATT